GATTGGAAGATAACGAGGGACAGAAGAGAAGGCAGGAAGGGTGTTTGCTTTCCCTCACTGCCTGCTTTGAACACCTTTGGTCTCCTTTACCCTGCTGTCGTCAGGCCTGCAGGTTCAGGGCGTTCGGCCCGGCTGAGGGGTGCACGCTTGGCACACCTTGGGGCAGCCCAGGAGCCGAGAGTCGGACCTGAGCCCGGCTCCCGCAGCTGGGAGAGGCTCCAGATCCAGCGCCTTGGGCCACCTCGGCTGCCACGCGTGTGCCGTCTGCGGTCATCGAGGTGTGACACGGCCGGGGGGAGATGGAGGCATGGCAAACTTTACCGAGGGAGTGGAAAGCAGAATGCGAATAGGGCTGGAGGAGGATGCTCTGCGTGAGCGGCCTGCGGAACTTGAAGCACAAGGGGCAGCAATAAAGTTTGAGCCGAGGAGAAATTGGGCATCTAGGAGCTAAAATTTGTCTCTGCTCTTAACGAATGACGAGTTTGCCGTTAATGGCAGCGAGCATGTTCATGCTTGTGTGTGGGTCAGTAGTAACAGCTGCCTGCTCGTCGGGCGTGGGCATCCTCAAGGTCTCCATCCTCATCTGTGTTTGCAGGAGTCGCTGAGCCTCTCCAGGGAATTCCTGCAGCAGATGACATGGCAGGGAGTGACAGGACAAGGGGTGACGGGTTTAAATTGAAAGTGGGGAGGTTTAGATTAGATATCAGGAAGAAGTTCTTCCTGGAGAGGGTGGGAGCACTGGGACAGGTTGCCCAGAGAAGCTGTGGATGCCCCATCCCTGGGAGTGTCCAAGGCCAGGCTGGATGAGGCTTGGAGGACCCTGGGCTATGGAAGGTGTCCCTGCCCATGGCAGGGGGGTTGGAACTAGATGATCTTTAAGGTCCCTTCCCACCCAAACCATTCTGTGATACTGTGATTCTATGGCACCACCTTGGTAGGGGTTTAGTTGGGAAAACAGCACTGCCGGAGGATTTGATGTGCGTTAATCATCTGTGGATGAAGTTCCTACAAGTGAGGAGCTGCCGCGAAGTGAGTAGCCCAGCCCTGCCCACACGGGAGTTGGGTGAACCAGTCCCTTACTTCCCGCAGTAGGGAGAGGGGTTGGCTGAGCTTAAGCCAACGTGGAGTAGTGTCTTTTCTTTTTTTAGACAAATCGTATTTTTCCCCCAAGCCGTCTGACCGGAGGGTTTGAAGCGGCAGTGCCAGCATCCTTCAAAAACCGGTTGTGGACGCCGGGCGGTTGGCAAGGCCGGAGTTCACGCCGGCATCCAGCGAGGGAGGAGAGCCGTGAGATCCAGCGCTCCAGCAGCGAGTCGGGACTCTGAAGAGCGTGGTAGTGGCTTCCAAATGACATTCAGAGGTTGGTTTGGGTTTTGTTTTCTTAACACCATGTTTGGGTGTTCTCCTGGTGTTTGTTCTGTGGAAAAGGCTCTTCTCACACTTCCGGAGAGCTGCGAAACCTCTGAGCTTTGTCAGTCGATCTCTTGGTAGATCCACTTCCTACAAATCAGTGAGTGTGGATCAGGCTGGAGAAGAAAACCCAGGAAACTTGCTGTATAAAGCTGAGTGTAGGAAGATGCGATCGGTTAAATCTCTCCTCGCTCTGAGAAAGAGAAGGGCACCTGAAAAAGAGAGAATTCCGGTTTTCCCACCCGAACGGTTGTCTTGGTGTGAGAAGGTTTTGTGTGTTCCTGGCTGTGCCAGGCTCTGGGCAGTAAATTCTGCAGAGGTGGACGCGAGCTCGCTGTACCGTCTGGTGGTCAGGGGGTGCCAGCAGACGTAGGTGCTAGCAGACGTAGGTACCAGCAGACGATCCCTGTTGTTCCTGTATCCTTGAATTGCAGTGCAGTATCCAGGTCTGGGATCCCTGAGGACAGTGTCGCCTGGCTGTGCAGGGTAGTATTTCATAGAATCCCAGAGGGGTTTGGGTGGGAAGGGACCTTACAGCCCACCCAGTGCCACCCCCTGCCATGGGCAGGGACACCTTCCACTAGACCAGGGTGCTCCAAGCCTCATCCAGCCTGGCCTTGGACACTCCCAGGGCTGGGGCATCCCATTTCCATGTGTTGCTCTTCAAGCCTGTGCCCAGTTTGGTAGATCGTGGCTGGTGGTTGTTGCAAATGTTCACACTGATGTTTGTTATTAAGCTACCAACACATAATTGCCGAAGTTTACTGCTCGCTCGTTATTCTCGCGTG